TTCCCTTCCACAGAATGACTTCTTTTGTAAATTTACTGCTACAAAAGGACAGACTTCTAGAAATCTTATCTGTAGCCTTAATATGAAAAAACAAAATCAGACTATCTCACTAATTAGAAAAATAGTTTTCCTCACCTAGGACCAAAATTAAGATCACTCTAGCATCTTTCTATGAGGAGACATATAGACTAGAGGATTAGAACTCTATTTCTCAACCTTAGTCTTCCAAAGCAACTCATAGTCTTTGAAGCCAGAAATTGCTCCCCTTCTCCTCCCTCCAAAGAGAATAATGCTTGTCATTTTTAGGAAAGGAGACATGTTTATATTTTCCCTTTATTTTGTTTATTTCAAAAACAGATGCGTAGTTGACTTGTGGCCTTGCTAACTGACTAGGGTTGAATAAAAAAGTGGTAAGGGCAAGACAATTGAGTAGCAGACAGGGTGATGGATGAAGCAAGGAGAAGGTAAATGCAAGGTTGACTTTTTAACGTCATAGAAAGAGTAGGTGCTGGGTCTGTCTCTGAAATCTCACCCATAATTCTTAACTACAGGCTCCAAATGGGAACCCTTGGGTTAGAAGATTGTAGAAAAGAATGAGAATTAGGAAAAATAAGGCAATGGAGGGCCACCCTGGTGGCGCAGGGGGTTAAGCAATGCACTATGAAGCAATCCGCAGCTTCTGCAGCACGAGTTCAATCCCCAGCCTGCCAGGGAGCAATCCATGTGGCGCAGCAGACTTCTCCTGTCTCACCCACTGCTCCCCTCAGCAGTGTATTTCGGTCAGTCTGCTTGTTCTGTTCCCCACTCTGTCTCTGGGGAAAATATAATTTGTGTGTATATAGTTGAGGAAGATTTTGCTAAATAGATTCTTTGCACCTATCACCCTTGGAATTCAGAAGAAGACTTAACAGTGCAGGAACAGAGTGGCAGGAGGTTTGTCCTGGCTGTAAACTCACAGAAGACCAGCTATAGTCGGGAGTGTTGCAGGCACCAGGCAGTGGGGACCAATCAGGTACTTGCCCTTCTGTTACTGTTTTGGCCCTCACCCTCTTTGTTTGTCGTGCCATCAGGCCTAACCTGTTTTTCACCAACAGTTAGCACTCCACCAAAACCTTTGACCTCCTGTATTTAGCGTCACTTTTAATAAACGCACCACACTGAAGCAGCTCTTACTTGCTGAGAGTTGTACTTGGATTTTAAGACTAACCATTCTGTCAGCAGAGAGAATCAGAGTCCTATATGGCTTTAAGTGAACAACACTGCTTTCATAGTTCTTCAGCATGGGAAGCACTATTTAAGTTGCTTTATAAAAAAGTAAAGGGACTCAGTCAATAAGAAAGTAACAAATCAAAGGGGGAAAGCCCAAAAGATATAAACAAGCAATTTATATAGGATAATGAAATTATTAAAAAATCTAGTCTCACTAATATGGAAACGCTATTAAAACAACAAACAGAGTTTGGGTTTTTGTTATTGTTTTGGTTTGATTTTTTTTTTCTACATTTTGAAGGGACAGGTTTATTACGAAAGAGAGAAAAAGAATCATCTACATAGTCACACATGGGCAGGAGAGCTGCCACTGCTGCTCTGCAAAGAGAGAGGTTTGTGAAAAGAAACACCTGCATAGTCACAGGCTGGCAGAAGAGCTGCCTATTACATGGGGGGGTGGGGGGGGTGTTGTGGTTTTTTTTTGTTGTTGGTGGTTTTTTAAAAAGATTTATTTCTATTTATACAAGAGCTGGGGTATAGGCCAGAGTGTCGGGAGGGTGAGAGGATTCACCAGAGACAGAGCGAGGAGCAGAACAAGCAGACAACCGAAATACACTGCTGAAGGGAGCAGAGGGGGAGACAGAAGAAGCCTGCTGCTCTATGTGGGATTCTCCCTGGCCAGCCAGAATCAAACCAGCTCTGCAGAGGCTGCAGACGGCTTCACAGTCCGGCGCTCAACCTGCTGCACCACCAGGGAGGCCCCTCACATGGTTTTTTACTTACGAAATTTTGTGAAGATATAAACAGGCGCTATCATACTGTTGGTGAATTTGTCAATTAGAGCAATCTTTCTGAAGGTGATTTGGTAGTATAAGTTAACTTTTAAATATTGAAGTTCTTTTGACTCAGCAATTTTCTCCTGTGAATTTATCCTACAGAAATATTCATAGTAAGTGCACCAAAAAAAAGTGTAACAGGATAAATCACAGTGCACATTGCAGTGCAATACAGGTAGTCCTATAAACAGCCTAACAGAGAAAGGTGTTAGTGCTGATTACATTTCTAAAGCAGGCTAAAAAGCAGCATATAGGGCCTCCCCAGTGGCGCAGCAGATTGAGCACAGCACTGTGAGGCTGTCCACAGCCTCTGCAGCATGGGTTCGATTCCTGGCCGGCCAGGGAGATACCCACATGGTGCGGCAGACCTCTCCTGCCTTGCCCGCTGCTCCCCTCAGCAGTGTATTTCCGTCCGTCTGCCTGTTCTGCTCCCCACTCGGTGTCTGGTGAATCCTCTCACCTCCTGCACCTCTGGCCTGTGCCCCAGATCTTGTATGTGTAAATAAATAAATCTTAAAAAAATTAAAAAGCAGCATATATGGTAATGATCCCATTTTTCAAAACTGAAAACTAAAAATCACAATAGTAAGCATGAGCATCAGCAGAGGAGAAAAAATAATCTGGAGCACTTTTAAATTAAGTAGTTGTCCTTACAGAATTGGTTCAGAGGAGACTTTTTATTATATTTTCTTGTAACATTTAGAATTATTCAAACAAAATGTGTTCTCTTGAAATTAAGAAGTAGCCTTTTAGAAGCATTTTGATCTGTTGGTTAATTTTTTTATCCACTAGGATTCTGTATGGAAGATAATATTACTGTTTTGGGCAGCCTGCGGTATAATTAATAATGAGTAGGAAAAATAAAACTTTCACTTTGTAAAACTCATAGGATTTATACAGGGATTTCAGAATCCTGTACTTAAGATGTCACCTGGGGCCTCCCTTGGTGGCGCAGCGGTTGAGCGCTGGGCTGCGAAGCTGCCCGCAGCCTCTGCAGCACCGGTTCGATCCCCGGCCGCCGAGAGAGGGTCCCACATGGCGCACAGACCTCTCCTGCCGCCCGCTGCTCCCCTCAGCAGTGTACTTCGTCTGTCTGCCTGTTCTGTTCCCTGCTCTGGCTCTGGTGAATTCTCTTACCCTCCTGTGCTTCTGACTGTACCCAGTGCTTGTATAAATAAATAAATCTTTAAAAAAAAAAAAAAAAGTCACCTGACTTGAGGTGCTCACTAATGGTATAATTCACTTGTTTTTACCTAAAATTATCATCGTCTTGGTTATATCTATTATTTTTGATAGTATACTTAGTTCTCTCTGTTTATGTCTTATGTTCTCTGGCAGATGAACTCCCAGCTAGCCCAGATGACTCAGATAACAGTGTGTCAGAGAGCCTGGATGAATTTGATTACTCTGTGGCTGAGATTAGTCGCTCATTTCGTTCACAGCAGGAAATATGTGAGCAACTCAACATCAATCACATGATCCAAAGGATCTTCCTCATTACTCTGGACAACAGTGAGTTACAGACTCGGAGCCACTCTATTCATTACTCTGCCTGGGTTAGGGACTTGCTCTTAGAAACCTGTTGTTATCTCGTGGTTATAAAAATCCTCCACACTCCCTAGAACACAGGGTTTAGATTTCAGTGAAACTCTGGTGTGAACTAAAATAGTATTTAGACACTAATACAATTTTCATTCCCATTTTGATAGTGACTAGGCCATATAGCTACCTCCTTTACTACCTTAAAGAGGAAATGGAGGGCCTCCCTGGTGGCACAAGCAGTTAAGATGCAACCTAGGAAGCTGTCTACAGCCTCTGCAGCACGAATTCGATCCCCCAGCCGGCCAGGGAGCAACCCACATGGCGCAGCAGACCTCTCCTGACTCGCCCGCTGCTCCCCTTAGCAGTGTACTTCAGTCAGTCTGCCTGTGCTGTTCTCCACTCTGTGTCTGGTGAATCCTCTGGTGAGAGGATTCCCCACACCTCTGGCCTTTACCCCAGCTCTTGTATACATAAATAAATAAAATCTTTAAAAAAAAAAAAAAGGGAATGGTAACCAACCCATTTTCTTCTCCAAGGAGATCTGAATATTCAGAAAAAAGCCCCAAGAAGCATCCGTATTTTTCCTTTGTGCCCTGTCTCTTGTTAAACCCAAAGTTAGTACTGGTGTCTGGGGTTCACTATTTAAATGTCATATAAACTGTATAACAAAGCCCACGCCCTTTGACTAGGAGGTAAAAAAGTTTAAATCTTTAGATACTATGCATTGTGTCAGGATCACTACTGTTTCTGAGTCAAACTTCAAGAGAAATGCTGTCAAAAATGAGTTGTCTGTATAATGTAGAAGCAGTATCCATACCCTAACTGATTAAAATCATTTCCAGGTGATCCAAGTTTGAAAAGTGGGAATGGCATCCCCAGTCGTTGTGTGTATTTGGAAGAAATGGCAGTAGACCTGGAAGATCAAGACTGGCTTGATATGAACAATGTTGAGCAGGTAACATTCTTCTGTTCCTTACCTGCGCCCTCAGCAAAATTAGCCATACAGTATAACTCTGCTCCTCTTCCAACAGCTGTGACTTTGCTTACCTCCCTCTCTCACTTTGTAGTCTTCCTCTTTTGGAGTTGTCTCATCTACCATGACCATATGTCCAAATCTACCCATCCTTTAACATCCAGTTGAAATTCCATCTTATTCATAAGGCCTTGTCAGGTAGAAGTTAGTCTCTCCTCTGAGTTCCTAGAGTAATCTATCTGTGCATCTCTTGTGAGAACATCCCTTTCTCCCTCAAAGTGTGGCTTTTTAGAGGGTTTTAATTTATTAATCCTCTCTTAAAAAATCTGCACAATCACCATAGGTATAATCATTGCAGAATCTTTATGCCTTTTTTCTGCCGGCAGCTACACTGGCTTTTACGCTCCCCTGACTTTCTTCATTCTGTTCTCACATTCCTTTCACTGTTTTCTTAAGGTCTTTTTCGTCTCATACAAGCCAAGTCTTGCGTGTCTGTGTTTGGGTTTATTTTTCTTTGCATAATCCAAGGAATCATAAATCCTGCCAATGCTTGTTGTCATGCCACCTCCAGAATGGATTCTGCATCCAAATACAAAGATGACATTGGGGGTGGCCTTGTACATTCTAGTTAGTTTTTCCTGAAATTCTGTCTTAGTTACTGTTGCCTTCCCAGGGTGAAGGATGTCAGTAACCATTTGTTTCCACCAAAGCGGTCAATTGGTCATGAACTGCCTGGTCCTGATGATTACTAAGTCGTTCAGGATGGTGGTGGCTCTTCAGGAAGCCAGGGAGAAGCTCATGTAGTGACTTTTTTAATGTTCCTGTCTGTCTCCCCTGTTAGACTCTTAAGTTCTCAAGGGCAAGAGCCATCCCTTCCTTCTTTATGTTTTTTCCTAAATTAAACAGTGCATTTTGGGGCCTCTCTGGTGGTGCAGGGGTTAAAGTCTCAGCCACTCCGGCCTGAGTTTGATCCCTGGCCAGGGATCAAACCCACATGGCGCAGCAGACTTCTCCTGTCTTTACCCGCTGTTCCCCTCAGCAGTGTATTTCAGTAGATCTGCCTGTTCTGCTCCCCATTCTGTCTCTGGTGAATCCTATCACCCCTCCAGCCCCCTTGAACCTCTGGTTTTTATATGCATAAATAAATAAAAATAAATTTTTTTTTTAAAGTGCATTTCACCTTATAGGTATCTCATTAACATTAGAGAAATGAAAGCTTGGTAAGGAAGACCCTTGACAACTACAGTTTAATTGGATACATTTGACTTATCTTTATATAAGACTGTATAAGGTCAGCAGTCACACAGAGTAATAGTTTTCAAATATGTGTATAATTGTTGCTTCTCAACACCAATTCAACAAATATTCTTTTGATGCTTACTTTGTGTTCAAGGCTGTAATAGACACTTGATCTTGATTTATGGTAACTACATGTATGCAGTTATTTTCTAATATTATCTAAAGTTACAATACACTGGGTTCTTTTTTCCCCTTTGCTCTGCATCCTGTGATTCTCATAATAACCTGTCAAAATGACCTTTTACATCTTGGTTTTCTAAGGTTAAATGCAAATGTTTAGCATTTTCATTGTTTCTCTTACTAGGCCATCTTTGCTCGCTTATTACTTCAAGATCCAGGCAACCACTTGATTAACATGACTTCTTCTACAACATTGAATCTCTCTGCTGATCGAGATGCAGGGGAGAGGCATATTTTTTGTTACCTTTATTCCTGCTTCCAAAGAGCCAAGGAAGAGGTAAGGAATAATCCCCACTAAGTACTACATTTTCCTCTTGTATATGACTTTAACATAAAAGCCAGAGTTGGATCATTGTCTTTTATATCAATTTCTATATATCATTGTATATCTGGAACAGTATATCAGAGCACTTTTATTTGTCTTCTAAACTTTCAGTCTTCTTTCTGTGACTTGGGGTCCACTTCCTGAACCAGTGTCCCTTATTTTCTCTATAACTCTCAAAAAAATCACACCCTAAAAAAAAAAATGATACATTCATTTCCACTGAGATATAAATAGAAAAGGCTAAGCTTGATCGTTTCCAGGACTGTAATTTTAAGAGATTATTGGTTCCTTAAATCAAAAAATGAACTCATGAATTTTCAGGCATCTTCAGGAGAACAGTATTGTTTTGGGACATAGTGTCTTTCTCATTCTGTTTGCTGTGTCCACCCTTGTTACAGGTCATAAAGCTAGACTCTTCCCTCTTCTTCATGCTGTTTACAGATTACCAAAGTTCCAGAGAACCTGCTACCCTTTGCAGTGCAGTGCAGAAATCTCACTGTGTCCAATACCCGAACGGTTCTCCTTACCCCAGAGATCTATGTTGACCAAAACATCCATGAACAACTGGTAGATCTGATGTTGGAAGCCATCCAAGGAGCCCGTGAGTACATAAGCAAGATCTATAAGATTCTGCATTTTTATTTCTGAAATTTAAATCTCTAATTGCACTAGAAAGTCTTAGAACCACTGTGGTTCTGGTGGAAATTGAGAAAGAAGGCACTCGTCTCAACCTTCAGGGTTGAACACCAGTAGCATTAGGAATAGTCTCAGAAGAGTGAAGAGCTAGTATATAAAAGCACATAAAAATTCATGTGGCCTTCCCTCTAATATTTGTCTTTTGTAAGATTTTGAAGATGTGGCTGAGTTCCTGGAAGAAGTCATTGAAGCCTTGATTTTGGATGAGGAAGTTCGAACATTTCCGGAAGTCATGATTCCAGTATTTGATATTTTATTGGGCCGCATAAAAGATCTAGAGCTCTGCCAGATCCTATTGTATGCTTATCTGGATATTCTTCTCTATTTCACCAGACAAAAGGATATGGCAAAGGTAGGTCTAAAAGATGGCATCTATTCAGTTGCGCTGGGGATTTAATACTTAGTGTTTCCCTATCCTGAGGGCACTATAATATCTATTGAATAAAAGAAAGATACATTGGTTGTTGTATAGACAATTCTTTGAGTCTCTCTCACCCCATCACCTTTATCTCATTAAGCATGAATAAATAGAACTTGTCTTCTCTTGCAGGTTTTCGTAGAATATATTCAACCCAAGGACCTTAGCAATGGGCAGATGTACCAGAAGACCTTGCTGGGAGTGATCTTGAATATATCCTGCTTATTAAAGACTCCTGGTGTGGTAGAAAATCACGGCTATTTCCTGAATCCATCTCGTTCCAGTCCCCAAGAAATCAAAGTACAGGAGGCCAACATCCATCAGGTGGAACTGTTTACTGGGATATCTTAGCCCCCTGATCTTAGATTAAGTATAGTTTTCTCAAGATGCAGATGCAGATGAGGCTATTTGAGCCTCTTTGGGAAAGCAGATTGATCTGATTGGCTTTCTCCCATAATCATGTGAAGGAATTGCCCTCTCTTTAGCATGCACTAAGAGGAGATGGTAAGCCCTGTGTGTTTGAGAATAAGCTGCCGCTATCCTTTGCCCAGCACTGTAATACTGCCACTTCCTCTCAGCTGTCATTTTCTCACCAAGTTATTTCTTATAGCTTCAGTTCCTAAAATCTTCTGAACGAACTCCAGCTTACAAACCAGTTTTGTTCCTTTACTTTATTCCATCTATGTCCTCTCTGTTTGGGCTTCTTAGAATAAATCATAGTAGGGGTCTGGTCAACATGAGTGGGAATATGTGGTTGTATTGGGATAATGTAAGTCCCCCATCTTCACAGCTCACTGAAGTGGGGGTTGACAAATTATAGCAGTGGCCAAATCCTGCCTGCCACCTGTTTTTATAAATAGTTTTATTGAACACAGCCATGTGTGTTCATATGTGTATTGTTTTTGGCTTGACTTCATGCCTCAGTGACAGAGTTGAATAGTTGCTTACAAAAACCATATGGTATGCAAAGCCAGGATTTTTATCATCTGCCCCTTTGCAGAGTTTACCGACCTCTACTCTAAAGCTATGTAATGCTATCTGCAATTTGGCAGCTCATCAGGAAATGTCTCATAAATGCCTCCACCCAATTTTTTTTTTTCTTAATCAGAACTAGGGGATAAGACACAGGGAGAGTGAGGAAGAAGATTAGGGTTAGCATACTTCTGGAAATTGCCAGTGGCTAAGGTTTGGGAGTAACAAATATTAGGATTTTGAAACTGGAATGTTCTGTGGTTGTGTTTTCTGGCTAAACAGTTCATGGCTCAGTTCCATGAAAAGATCTACCAGATGCTGAAGAACTTACTCCAGCTCTCTCCAGAAACCAAACACTGTATCTTGTCCTGGCTTGGAAACTGTTTGCATGCAAATGCAGGCCGCACCAAGATTTGGGCCAATCAGATGCCTGAAATCTTCTTCCAAATGTATGCCTCGGATGCCTTCTTTCTGAATCTGGGTGCTGCTCTCCTGAAGTTATGCCAGCCATTTTGCAAACCCAGATCCTCTCGGCTCCTCACCTTTAATCCCACTTACTGTGCCCTGAAGGAGTTGAATGATGAAGAACGAAAAATAAAAAATGTACACATGAGAGGTAGGGGGGATTTGGGCTTCTCAAAAACTGAGTGTGTGTGTGTGTGTGTGTGTGTGTGTGTGTGTGTGAGAGAGAGAGACAGAGACAGAGAGAGATGTTCAAGGCATCCACTCTTCACAAAGGTGCCTTTTTTCCTCAAAGATGAGGCAGAAAGAAAAGCTATTTTAACCTTTAAAAAGATAACTTTTTAAAAAATCTGGTCTTTTTTATATGTTGTAATTTAATAAAACCTTCTCCCTGAATTTGGCAACCTTGGATAGTCATTCAAAAAAATGAATAAAGTATAGTCCCTGTTCTTTTGAACTCAAAGGCTCTGAAAGAAGGCAGAGATATTAACAGATAACCATAAAATGTGGCGTAGGGTTAAGCTGTGAGAATACAGAGAAGGGAATAAATAATATTCTGTAAAAGTTGAGATCTTCCTAGCTGAGTCTTGATAGCTGAGTTGGGTTCATCAGGCAAATAAACAAAAGGTATATAATGATTCAAAACTACAGAAAAGTTTGATGTGACTAGAAGAAAGAAGATGGGACATGGCAGGAAATGAGAGTAGGAAGGAAGAATGGGCTCAAGTTGGAGAAAACTCAATACAGAAAAGTGCGAAGAAAATCATTCATTGTTCTATCAAAAAGAATCACTTGATTTTGGTTTTTTCCCTCCCAGTTTTATAACTCTCCTAATTATAAAAGTAATATATGCTCAAAGGCAAATAATCTTAAATACAAACACATAATAGATAGCAAGTTATCTATTGTCTATGACTTGGAAAAATCTATGGTGTTGTCATTCCTTTTAACTTTTGGTGATTTCATGGTCAAGCTGAAGAATTTTAACTGCTTTTCATAGAAAGAAGCAAAAAGAAAGTATTAATTTGATGAGATTTGTTTTTAAGAAGATATTACTCAAAAAATAAAAAGAAGGTATCACTAGTAGCGGTATGGAAGTTGAACTTGAGTGGAGGGATTTTGGAAATCATGATAGATGTCTTTGGCAAGCCATTTACTCTTCCTTTTAACTTCTTTGAGGTTTGGACAAAGAAACCTGTTTGATCCCAGCTGTACAGGAACCAGAGTTTCCCCAGAACTACAACCTTGTAACAGAGAACCTTGTTCTGACAGAATACACTTTGTACTTGGGATTTCACAGGTAACTCCTCTGATGGCATTAGGAAAGAAGTATTGGTTGTGTT